AGAGAGTGTCGCTGAGGGGCCGTCACCCCCTCGGCGAGGGCTGGTGCTGCCCTGAGCCCGCACTGCCAGAGCCTGAATTAACCAAAAAACCAGCTTTAAACCGCCCCGGTAGGGCTCCTCGCCCGGGCCGCGGTGCGGGGCCGCCTCCCGCAGGCCCCAGACCAACCACCCGGGTCCCACAGCAGCACCAGCGCTGCGCAAAGTCTTGGCCCTGGCCTAGCCCGGATGGTTTTAATATTAAAACAAAACAAAACAAAAAAAGAGCGGTCGAGCTGCAGTTTCTGACCCCATTCCCGAAGGCCGTGTGTGCTCAGGCAGGATGCAAAAACCCACAGACAATGGAAATTGTCCAAACAGCGTCAACGGGCTGGAAACGCACGTTCTGAGGGCGAGAGCTGCGGGCAGGCCCTGGGCCCAACTCCCTAACAGCCTGCAGCTTCGAGCGAAACCTCCGCTCTTCGAATTAGAGAATGTTGTATATTCATCTTTTAATTTCATAAATGGGTAGGCTAGGGGCAGGCAAACAGGGAACCAGGTCACTCACAGCAAGAGGTTCAGGGCTTCCAGGGGTTTAACGCACCTGCGTGGGCCACGGGGGACAAACCACGGCTGTATTACTTCAAAAAGATTTTGCGGAGAGAACCCAAAGTGTTTCAGCCCTTTTCTATACTGTTAGTCCGAAGCACAGACAAGTTACATCAGGCCTCAAAAAGATAACGGGAGTTTTTGTTTTGTTTTTTTTTGCAGGTTCAGAGATCTCAAGTGAAATCGTGTTTTTCCTGCTGCTTACCGGAGACAACTGTGCTCGTGGTTCCTCCCCGCTAAAAAAAATGAGAGCTGAGACTGGTCCCCTGAGACCACATCATCTGCCAGATAAAACCGCTGTACCTCCAGCAAACATGTTACCGTAACTGACAATATATACTATATAGGACACACACACACACACACAAAAAAAGCACAAGAATAGGAAAAAAACATGGTTTTAATTCTACAAATGCTCTCTACCTATTTACAAGGTATCCAAAATATCTGCCTCAAATCCAGCAGTGGCAGCCAAGTCAGCTATTCATTACTAGTTTGCAAAAAATCAGCAAACCTGAGCTCAGGAACGTGCCTCTGCGCTTGGACAAGCTGAAAGGGGACCGGGGAACAAAAATGCCTTCAGTTAACGCCGACGATAATCTATCTTGCTTCGAGGCAAGCACGAGAGACAGAAAGAGTTCAATATCCAAGTCCAAGCAGCAGCAGCTCATCCCTTGCACGGTTTAGTCAAACCCAGCCGTGCCCAACAGCCTACCTGGGGATTTCAGTGAACCCCTGTGAGTGCAGCTTCGTTTGAACAAGGATGGGCGAGTCCAACCTCCACAGGTTATCCGCGAGACGACTGGATGCTATTCTGCTCTAGAAAGAAATTACGTTGGTTTTTTTTTCCTCACGAAGAACCAAACCCACATGTTTCTGTTTGAACTCTTCACAAAAGTTTAGCTGTGAACAGTAAAAAAAGGACGTTATAACACAAAAACGACAACATACACAACGAAAGAACCACGTGTGCCTCTCTGTTTATTCTTTATTTTACAGTTCACAATTAGAAACCTACTGATAAATTACACAGTTCACCCTCCTGTTTGGGGTTTTTAAATGCCTCAGAGTCGTGCCGCCAATCCCATCTCATCCCAGGAAGGTGGCTCGAGGTGCCACCAGGTTACACGAGGCAGAGCGGCCACACAAACCCCGCCACAGGCCGCGCTTCACGTGGGAAGTTAACGGGCAGCAGGAATTGTCCCCTAAAAACACATTTGAAATGGAAAAATATACTGGGTATTATTTCAAATTTATTTAATAGACTTGAAAATGTTGCAAATGTTAATGGAGAGGAAAAAAAATAAACCCCAGACTTCCAGGACTGCAGGTCAGTGAGGTTGTTTTCAGGCAGCAACTACCCAAACTGGCCCTTTTTCAAGGCCCTTAAGCAATTCTCTCCAAAGCCTCCTTTTACAGAGCAGAAAGATAAGGTAGGGCCCTCCCCAGCTGTGCATTTCAACACCTGTTTAACTTTGTACAGAGCTGCAGCCACCAATTCAGATGTTTCACCACTGCTGCCCACGTCCACAGAATCATCAAGGTTGGAAAAGACCTTGAAGATCATCTAGTCCAACCATTAACCTCACACCGCTTTTTTTTTTCTGCTCAGAAGTTCCTAATTTTTTTTTTTTTTTTTTTTTTTTTTTTTTTTTTT